AGCGGGCTCTGCGACTATACCAAAGGCCACTGTGTGTGCGCGACGGGCTTTACAAGCAGCGACGGCTACGGCCACGCGGGGACGCGCGGCGACTGCGGCTACATGGAGCCCCGTGTACCTCAACTCGGCCGGCGAGTACGCCAACGCCAACTGGATGAACTAAACTCACGTTAAACTGTTGTATGGATATGCTTGTATATATATATACGTGTGTTGGTCGATTAGAGCTCGGTCTTCTCCGGATGGCAGCGCAGGTCGGCGAGCTCGTCGGCCGTAAACGCATTGGCATGCCCCGGCGACGACGGGTTGCCACGCAGCGGCGTCTCGTCGATTGACTGTCCAGAGGCAGCATGGGTCACCGAGCTCCTCGCCGTTGGTGGCGCCGTCGCCGTCCGAGTCGAGCTGGCACAAGGCGATGCATAGTTGGCGGCCATGTAGTCTTCGCCAAACTGCGTGTAGGCGCCGCTGCCCGCCTTGTTTGCGTGGCCGATCACCGGGACACCCGAGACCTCAAAGCCATTGGAAAGGTTGTAGCGGAGCTCCGAGTACGCCGACGATGACGCCGCCAACGCCAGCAGTCGCACAAGGGGCATAATGTGGTAGGTTTTCAACTGATATCAATGTCCGGTTATGGTTTTATCAACCGGATAGTATGACGTGGCGAACGGTGCGTCGGTGCTTCCATCCTATAAACGGTATGGTCAAGGATACTATCATTTTCTTCGCATGGCCCACAAGATTTTGGTCTTGCGCCCGCGTGTGCCAAGTGGCTTATGAGGGACAACGAGCGAGGTCGCAGCGGCTCCTATCTCTCGCGCTGCAGGTGTCGTACTAGGGACCGAGCTGCTGTCGTCCTGTCTTGTAAATTCCTCAAAAGTTGTTCGGAGGTACAATTGTAGTACTCCCGTCATGTAACAATTCCGAGTGCGCGTAGGATTGCGCTACATAGGCCAAGCACTACTCTAAGACGCCTTCGACATTATTGTCGATTCGTGGCACGCGAGATTGTCGTCGGTCAGGGCTGCCTCTTTCGCGACATGATGCCTGCTTGGCGCTTGATCATCACAGCGTGTGCGTCAATTGTATTCAAGCAAACTACGGTGCATCCAACATAACAAATTATTGATTCTCGTACAGGTATATGAATTGAAACAAGCTAGTTTACACACAAACAAGACGACGAGCTTGGGAAGTTACGCCGTGCACCACTTGGTGCCAAAATCGGCGGCGAGGCTCTGGCAGTATTCCTGGTCGTAGTCGGCCGTCAAGCACTGCGACGTGGCGGGGTAGTAGCAACCGTTGCAACCGTTGCAGTCACCGTGGGACTTCTTTGGTTTGTGGGATGTAGGTTGCTGCTTGCCGTTCATGGGCGAGTATGACAGCTTTTCGGCCACGTTGCACGTGCCCTTGCCGTCCACGCCTCGCTTGAGGTACATGTAGCCTTGCTCGCCCCAGCCCGTGCCCCACGAGTTCTTGATCTTAAAGTACTGCTGACCGTCCTTGGTGCCATAGCCGACAACAATCACTGCGTGGTTCGACCGCGCATCCGGGCAGCTCTGAACGATGCCGCTCTTGTAGTTGCGCCACACGTCGTTAGCAGACGCGACGGCGGCCGTGACGGGCTGCGTGTCGAGCGCGCTCTGGAGCGCACTCTCGCCTTGGATGTTGACCGACTTGCCGACGCTGATATTGGTCTTCTGACAATCCTGGCACTGGCCGTTTTGGTTGGAGTTGCCCGAGGCGTACGGAAAACCCGACTCGGTACACAAGCCCGTCTGGGCAATGTAGTCGAGCGCCGGTTTTGGCATGCCACCACGGCAGCCGCTGCCTGCTCTCGACGCACAGCTCACGAGCTGCTGCTCGGAAAAGTCGACGAGCGACCCGGTCATTAGGCAGTGCGCGGCTTCGACAGCGCCGACGGCCGCAAACGCCCAGCACGACCCGCATTGACCTTGGTGACGCACGGGTGACATGCACTTGTTGGTCGACCAGTCGACGCCCGTCGCCTCTTGCTGGGCCTGCGTCAGCGTGAGCTGGACGTTGTCGCCGCGCAGCTGGCGCTTGGGCGCCTCGTGCTGGAACGAGCCCTTGACAAAGGCCGCAAACTCGTCCTCAGTCATGAGCGCAAACTGGTTGTCGGTCGAGAACACGGCGCCGCTGTGCTTCTTGTTGAGGTCATCGACGATCTTTTGGGTCGTCGCGAACCGGACGAGTTCGTCGTCGATGTCGCCGTCTTCGAGGTTGCCGTTCTCTGTCTTGGGCGGAAGAAAGCCGTTGGCTTCGGCTTGCTTGCCGGCTTGGCTGGCCTTCCACGCCGCGAGCTTGGCTTCGAGGTCCACTTTTTCTTGGGCCGAGAGACGCAGGCCTTGGACGGCTGACGCAGCGAGAAGGAGGCAAGCGATCGACTTCGTGATGGTGTAAAGTGGTCGAGGGAAATTGGAAAATGAAAACACGATGCCAGTACGAACTGCGCCATCGGCGTAGCATGCGACGCGCGGTGTTCGATTTCAAGAGCAGAGGCACTGTAGAAAAGGCTCTTTCTGAGTCCACCGAGTTGCGTCTGTGCGTTTGTGGTCATATTCTGTGAGGCAGAGTCGCCATCATTCGCCTGCATGAGGAATCCAAGAACGGCAGATGACACACATGGTAAGATCATTTGACTACTAGTAGCATCGACGAGCACATGACGGTCCACAGTGACTACGGTTGCTGTTCAAAAGTGCACAGTGCCATCTGAAAGTTACCTCAAGTGCTATTAATAACAGTGACGTTAGCTTGAGATGGCACCCTGCACTTGTGTCGAACCGGCTCTATCGACACGCCTTATTTACGCTGCCGCGTCATCGTATCTCTCGTATCTCGTCATTGGCCTCATTGCCATGCGAGCTGTAGTTCCGTTTGAATACCCATCCTGTTTCAATGCCTCCGCACCACCTTGAGCTCGATCCTGCCGTGACTTTGCGATGCTGCGATACCGGTGTGTGCTCATTGGTGTGTGCTGGTGGACGCGAGTCGGTTGGCAACCTTGCGGTGGCAAACACATGTCGGAAGAATCGTACCGCAAATCGAACGGAGACAAGGAATGGTATTGCATTGCAGCACATTTTATGGCGCTGGAGATATGGCAACGCGTTGGCAATGACGCGTTGGTGTCACGCGTTCCGAATGTGCAATAATCAAAGCATTTCACTGATAACACCTGGTACTACATGCAG